GAAACGGCTAACTGCAGCTAACGTACATCGACGGCCTCATAAGGTATGCCTAAACGAAATTCCTCCTGCAACTGTTAACTAAACCGAGATCTGCATGTACCTGTTCGAAAAGGAGTCGCAGCTGTCTTTCCGATTCACCTACCCACTTGCACAGACAATCGGCACCTTTGCGCATAAAAAAGCGTATATTTCTACCTGCAGAATTGCATTCGTTGGCCAGTGCGTGGGCGACAAGCGTCTTGCCGGTTCCTAAATTTTTCCAATAAGGTTTATGATCACTGAAAAACAACGGGAAAGTCACGCAGTACCTGGAGGTCCATAGAAAAGGACGCCACGCGGAGGAGTGATCTTGAACTTTTCAAACACTTCTGGATACATCATCGGCAGCACAACCATTTCTTTGAGGGCCAGAATTTGATCAGTCAACCCACCAACACATGAAAAATCAACCTAAAGGTTTTATTTATGCAAAGTTTGCTTAGAATGACTGACCCATGTTTCATGTTTCGCGTGAATTCAGAACTGTAGCTAGATAGTCAAATTTCGATCACCTAGCTGAAAAAGAACGATTTTCAGTAAAATTTGCTTTCGTTGTAACTGCTAAAATAGTCTCACGCTCAAGGCTACACGGTAGGAAAGACAGTCAAACCGAGTGCCAGATAGTACGAAAGCATTGAATAAATATCACTATAGCGCTTCCAATCCAACCTATAAAACTTTTTCGACTGGTAGAGCAAAACTGATACAACTACAGACCCATTTTGAAGGTACTGTTCTGAAATCTGAAAAAAGAAGGCTATGAAGATGAATTAATAAAAAAGACGCTTAAGTTATTACATATAACAGCACAAAGAAGTACTGACCAGCCGCCCCCTACTCAAAAGAACATATTAAAAAAGAATTTGTTGCAAGAAAAGCAACATAAGGCAAACAAAGCTGCAATTAAAATTAGTGGAATTATGAGAATATTTTTGCTAACTAGCACTAGACATATTCTGTTTTGATAACGCTTAGAGGTATTTTCGATGATCAGTTCGAAGGGCAATCGATTAACGGTGTATAAAGAACAGCAATATATCCAATTTTCTGTAAGAATTTAAACATGGATAGATACCAGTAACTCAACGTGCATGAAGGAGGCAAAGGGAGATCAACGTTTAGAGAAGAATTCCTTCCTTTGTGTACTTAAGGAAGAAAACAATAAAAAACTGAAAATACAGCGGACATCACAACAACAAACGTTCTTATGTAAAAGGCTCAAAGTGATCCTTTCTTCTGTCGTACGGCAGGAGAAGGTGACTAGTAACTTAAGAGTTGAATGTCCAGATTTATAAGCCGTTGAATTTTCGCAGAGGGCATTCAAAAATAATGTGCTGGTTTCCGTGGCCGCCGTCATAGAGTGGAAGAAGTGTCCAAAGCGCCCCTATTCTGTTCAATCCCGGTTAAATCTCCATTATTCACGGCGAGCCAAGTCCTTCCCAGGAGATTCCGTGATAGTGCTGAAGATAAGCTCTTTGTTAAGAATGGCTGTAGGGACCCACTCTGCCCGACACTGTCCTTCTGACTCAGTCATTGCGGCATTGCTCGTTCAGTAGTGGGTGATGTGATTTCAGGGATCGTGTCAGCAGCTGTTCGAGGATATGTAAACTGGTGATATGTATCAATGGTACAGAAAATGTGAGACGCCGGCTCGACTTTAAAGAAGTCAGTGTACAATTTCCACCAGAATCTGTAAACGCTTTGATTCCTGCTAAGATTATCATTGCTTCATGGAGCCGTCTGTTCACTTTCTTCGTGGCAGCTATAGTTCCAAAGAGGTGAGCAACTGCTTCATTATCTGATTGTTTCAGGGTTGATTGCAAGCGCTTATTTGTCAGTATTTCGCCCAGCAATGCCATTCCATAGCTTGAGAGGTGCCTAGGTTCCACTGACGAACATGAAGAAGACTTTCTTCAGACCGAAACTATGATTAATTCAATCAAATAATCAAATTGAATAAGGCCCTGCCTAATGATTCAGTTTTGCTTCCATGCACTGCAGATGTTCAAATATCATGGAGCCGTAGCCTATTTAAATAGTCCCATAGGCCAGTAGAAGCAAGGGACGGTGCTTACGCTGCTTCAATCCGGTATCAAAAACTGAAAAGAATTGCATATCTTAATGGAGGTATCAATAACTAGCAGTATGCTAGTAAACCTATAAGATCAGGTTTAATTTGTCTGTAAAAATAATTCTTTAATAAATTAAATTCTTTACGACAAAACAACTCATTTAACATTAGTTAGTACCTCGTCATTGATCACTGCTGGACAAATATCCGCCAGTCGCTTGCCGTATTTGAAATCGTTCATAAGTGACTTGTCATTGTCACTCCTGCAAAAGAGTTACGTTAAAAATTTCCGAACACTGTTGGATTTAAAACAACCCGCTGCAAGTTGGCTTCACTTTCTTTTTCTGCGGAGAAGGTGCGCCATCTGCATCACTGCTGGAGCTGGAAGTTAGCAAGTTCCTCTTTCGAAAATTCAGTCTGAAAAAATATAGCAACGATTATTAAGGTATCGGTTATGATTCAGTTATTAACACATATTTCT